ACCTTGAATGTGGATAATAATAGTAAACATTAATAAATGATCATATATAATATTATTTTTCTTTCTGTTCCCTCCTTGAAATTTTTACCTTTATTTTTTGTGGGGTGGAAAGATCTTTTATATCTTTATTTTCCCCCTGCAGGTGAATTTAAACTCCTTGGCCTTGAATTTGAGTAAGTATAATATTGAAAAAGCAGGTAATTAATTTCCTGGATTTTAGAATCCATCTGTACACAAAGCAAAGAGACCTTAACTTGAGTGGCAGGATAGAACGTGCATCCAACAAAAGACAGTAAAGAGGCAGTGGTGGGAAGACAGGGATGGAGAGCAGGGAATAGGTCCCTTCCCAGGGACAGTGGGGGATGGAGGTTGGCACACAGGGGTCTCCCGTGGAGAGCTCTTGGCCTGGCGCCAGCAGGGGAGTGAAGAGAGAGTCTGCTGTGCCTCACAGACCCAGCAGAGGCCCCCGCTGGTCTTCCTGGGGCACCTGGAGAGGGCACCACCCTGCAGAGCTCTGACTCCGGAGCTCGGGCGGGGCCCAGGGTGAGGGCTGTCTGCAGAGGGTGCATCATCTGCACCTGCCGGGGGGGGGGGTCATGCTGGCACAGGGCATTTCCCAAGAGGGTCCGAGCTGTGAGCCATCAGCTGCCAGCACACATCGTGAGAAGGCGCCATCCTGAAAGGGGAACGAGTGGCGACCATAGCATCTCCAGAGTACTTGTGGAAACCTGGAGGTTCCGGTGCTCTCATCGTGCACCATGAGGTTTAGACAGGGATAGCGGCTGGGGCAACAGCCTTGGTGTTTTTCTGACTGTTTGGTGTGGTCAGCATGTTAAAGGCCTGTCTGTCCCCACCTGTTTGAGCTGCTGTTCTGATTGTGGGTGTGCCTAAGTCAAGAGCTTACATGCAGGGGGACTTTAAGACACGCCAGGGTGGCTAAGAGTCCAGAGTTTGGAAGTGGGGTCCATGAGTTCAGCACATGTGGGGTCCAATGACGGGCCAGGGACACTAGAGGTTGTGGCACCAGAACTCACAGAAAGGGGTGGCCAGCGGGACGTGCGGGGCCTTTGTGCCAAGCCAGGCCTGTGTGGAGGGTAGGGACGCAGTCCTTGCTCCTGATGGAGTGCCGGAAGGTTGGCACCCTAGCCTGGAGCGGGAAGATGTGTACAGGTGGGATCTTTGCTCCCTGCCCTCTGTCTTCTTTGACCCAAATGGAAGCTCTTTTGCTTTGTTTTATTGTCACTATCAGGTTCAGTCTGACTCTCAAATGGGGCTGGCACTTGCTATATGCCCACATCACTGGGGATCTGGAGTCTGCTGGCATAGGCTCCGATGGCCACCAGCCACGGTCCCTGAGGTCACACTGCAGCTTGGACTTGGCTGTGGTGGAGAAAACCTACACCATGCAGACGGGTAGACAGTGGTGCTTAATCCTTGCTGTTTTGTTGTTGTTTTTGTGGTACTGGGACTGGAACTCTGAGCTTTCACACTGAAACACCCTCTCTCCCCCTGCCTTTGATTTTGAAACAAAGTCTTGATGAATTGCTAAGTTCCCCAGGCTTGGGCAGAACTTGCCATCTTCCTGCCTCAGCCTCCCAGACTGAGGGGGCTATAGGAACGCACCACCATGCCTGGCTTTTCTTGCCGTTAAATGCTCACCAGCACCCCACTGTTCTCCAGGACTGGCTTCATGATTTGGGGGGCCCAGTGCAAAATAAAAATGCCATGACTTGTTCAGAAGCTGAGCCCATCGAGACAGACAGCAGAGCACTGGCTTGAGCATGGCTCCTTTGAGCATGAGCCTCCATGTGACTTCCGTGTCCTGTGCCTCCTGCTCCCACTCACTCTGGTTTGGTCTCTCCAGGAGAACTCCAGTGGGTAGGCCCAGTCTCTTGTTTCTTGGGTCTCCAGAGCCACGGCTGATGTCCATCAATGAGTTGCCCATGGTTGTTGAGGAAGAGGCCTCCCGTGTGGTGGGGCTGACAGCTTTGCTGCTACTGGTGAGGAAGAGGGGTGGTTTCTGTGGCCTTGCAGCTGATGGCAGACTCTCTTGTGACCTCCAGCTCCGGGGATTTGGCTGGAACTGGAACAGCCCAGCATGCGGGAATGGAGGTCAAGGGAAACCAGGAAGGTGAGGCAGATGGCAAGCCTGAGGTCACCTGCTCACTCTGAGTGTCTCACATTGCCCAGGGCAGAAGAGCCCAGGGACAGAGCTGGTAAAAGCAGAGTAATGGGTCATGCCCGCCACACCCCGGGGGCTCCCTGGCACCACAGCCTTGTCCTTGGCTCAGGGCCCCAGGAAGTAGTGGACCCTAGACAGGGCTGGGCATGGTCCTAGGGTGCAGGGAAGCTCCCCAGAGGCCCCCACAGAGCCTTAGCACCTTGTCCACAGTTGCCATCGCCTGCCCTGGCCATTCCCAGAAGCTCCTGAGAGGCAGGGCTGCATCTCCTCCTCCTCCCTCCTCCCACTCCAGGTCTCAGTGCCACACTGACCTGGCACCAACCGGGCACTCTGTCTGCTGCACAAAAGGGTGGTGAGTGTCAGAGAGGAAGGAGGCCGTGTGGAGATGGAGATGCAGGTCAGCTCCAATCTGTAGGCAGGGGCATGGAAAGAGGGCACCAAGTGGGCCCTGGGCATGGCCGGGGGCCAACTGCCCCCCATCAGCTCCTTCCGCTGTGATTCCCCTAGATGTGCGCCAGGATTTTAAGTTGATTTCGCTTCACCCCAAAGCCTGGCGAAGACTATGCCCGATCCTGGGGTCAGGGCTTGCAGGTCGAGAGAAGCCTGGGTCATGTGCATCTTTTCTGGAAGCACCCGATAGATGATAAAACGAGGAAATGTTAGTCGGCTGCAAAGCTGTTGGTCTGTTTTAACCATTAAAATAAAAATGATACTCACTTTTTACACATACAAATGGGATACAGTATCACAGTGCTTTCATAAGGTAGTTACAGAATTTATACAGATTATATTAATTTCTATAGCGCGTCAAGTCCCTGGTAAGAAGAGGCGGTTTCTGGTTGTGTTTTTATCTAGAGGGGTGTGTTTATAACATCATCCGATGGAAAAATTTTCGGTGATATTGAGGATCCCAGTGAATAGGTCCCCATCATTCTCTCTGTCCCCATGGCCTTCCCAGGGGACACCCAAGGAGGGCTGAGAATTTCCCCCAAACTTGGTTCTCTCCCCAGAGCAGAGTCAGTAGTGACACTGGAGAAAACTCACAGTGACACGTGTATATTCAGTGCCAGTGAGGGGTGCAGCCAGGAGTTTAAGCTCTCAAATTGTGTCCCCTCCTACCCCAGCAGGAAAAAGAAGTAAGATTATATGGACTACAGCGAGTGTGGGGGAGGCAGCAGACAGATGAATGGGCAGAATATTTATGATTCTTCTGGAAACATCCCACTTTGTATCCACCCCCCCCATATCTGACCATATTCAGTCAGTTCTGAGGGTTGCCATGGCAACTGTAAACTGTCATGGTGCTGGTGGGAAGGAAGTTCCCCATGGAAATGCAGTACAGTGAGATGGAAAGGAAGCTGAATGGCAAACACTGGCCCACAAGGCATCCAAACCAGCCTGAATCAGTTTGGCCCTGCTGAATCTAACCTTTTATTTTGCAGACACTATGGTTACAAGCCCTGTTTTTCTGTACAATTCAATCATATCTTATGACTCTGACCTTGGCCAGGCACACTCAGTGCACATGCTGATCAGGGGCATGCTTGTGTGCATCTTGGGCAGGGAGAGGAACAAACATAAGGTCTTCCAAGCAGGATCTCTCTGCTGGAGACTGGGAACATCCACAAACGCAGCGCGGCTCCCAGGTGCCAAGTGCCAGAGCAACAGAGGCCAAGCCATCAAAATGTAAGTAACAGTTCTAGGAATGTGTGGGTTGTTGCTAAAGCTTTACCCAGAGGCAAATTTATAGCTTTAATACATTCGGTAGAAAAAAAGAAACAATGAAGAAGCTAACTCTTAAAGTCAAGAAGAGAGCACGAATCATTTTAGCCCAGAGAAATTTGGAATATAAAAATTGTAAGGATTAAAGCGACCAAGAAATAGAAAACATCACAGTTGAGGAAACAGGCTCCAATAGGCAGAACAAGTTGCTGTGGATCTCAGTGCCTAGGCTTTAGGGGTTTACCCTACAGGGGAGTCCGTTCCTTGAGCCCTGGAGTGTCCAGGAAAGGGTTTTGATGGCTTAGCAGCCTAGATGTCGTGGACGCTTCAGGGCCATCTTCTGGTTGGAAGGAGGAAGGGACAATCTGAGAAACTTGTGTATGCGCCTAGAAAGCAAACCCTGTGTTTTAATAGACCTAAAAAAAAGTCTAAGTTCTCGTGAGTTTAGTACTTATTTTTCTATTCACACTTTACCTATAAAGTCTTGGCTGATAGTATGAAGATATATTTTGCCAAAAAAATTTTTTTGGGTTAGATTTACAGAGACGAAAGGAGCTGCGAGTAGGGCTGCAGGAGGCGCGGGGCCAAGGGGCACCTGGAGCCGGGCGCGGGCTGGGAGGGGCGCGGGAGTTGCGGGGCGCAGGACGCGGGGATACGCCTGGCACAGGGGCGCGGGGCGGGTCCCGGCAGGCGGCGCCCTCCTTCTCTTCCTCCCTCTCCCTTCCCCTCCTCCTCCTCCCCCCGCGCGGCTGCTCGGCTCCCTCTCCCCCTCGCGTCGCAGCCGGCACTTTGCAAACTCCTCGCCTGCCCGCGGCGACCGCAGCTCCGCGCCCCACCACCCCGGCGCGTCCCCGGAGCAGGGGCAGCGGACAGCGGCG